CGACCAGGCGCAGGCCGACGGGCTCACGGTCTACCTGGTCATTGCGTTGGCCTCGGTGTCTTCGCTCTTCCTCTGCTCTGTGCTCCTGTTTGTGGCTGTGAGACTGTGCAGGAGGAGGAGGGCCGCCTGGGAGGGTGGCTGTTCGGTGCCTGAGGGGCACTTCCAGGGCCACTTCGTTGGCGTGAGTGGCACGGGCACCCTGTCCCAGAGCTACCAGTATGAGGTGTGTCTGACGGGAGGCTCAGAGGCCAGCGAGTTCAAGTTCCTGAATCCGATTGTGCCCAATATTCAGGCACCAGGCCCGAGAGGAATGGTGAAGAAAGCGCCAACTTGAGAAATAGCTTTGGATTTAATATTCAGTAAAAATACTTGGTGGGCTTCAGCGGTACTGCGACTGTGCCTGACTTAGGCTTCTGGGACCAGTCAGTTCAAGTTCCCCAAACCAGTTACCCCAATCTTCCCACCTCTGGGCATTGAGAGAGAAAAGGAAGAACTCTCATTTCAGAGTAATTTGGATTTTTGATAAAGGAATTTTAAAAGTGACGTATCTGTGAATATATTCCTACTTAGAAATTTATTGAGACACCTGTAAAAAATGTTTTCATATTATTTCAAGTACTTTGAATATCGTTTTCGTTACACAGAAAAAGATTCAACTTTGACTGTAAAGCAACCCTCCACAAAGCATGGAATTTATGTGTGTTGCATTTTACTTTAAAGAATTGTTTTGTGCACATTAACACATAATAAATGTTGTCTGAGGTGTTTAAAAATGTGCTGATTGTCTGCTGTCTTTGTAGCTACTTTCATTTTCTGAGGTGACTAGAGAGTTGTACAAGGATGTATATATTAAGTTTCAAAAGCACAGACTTTAGAGTTGTTAAGCCTTAGTATTTTCAGTACTTATTGAGTATCTTACACTTTTAACACTTTTAATCTCAGAAGTAAACCTACCAGAGGAAGGCTTTTATAAATGAGGCAATTAACGCTCATAAAGGTTCAGGGAGATCGCCAAGTTTAACAATTAATAAATGGTGGCAATGCTCAACATCTCCCCTTTGGGTTCTCTGACCTTGAGTCTGTGACCTTGCCGCCTGTCTTGCTGGTTTTCCTCAGTATAATTCACCACCTGCCAAATCTCCCTCCTAATTAAGGAGAAGAAATATTTCCCGTGTTCATACTCCCGTTCAGAGATAGACTACATTTATAAATAACAATGCTTGTGTATTGGCCTCTGGGTTGTATTTTCTTATAGGCCAAGTGCCCAACTTTTCTCTATCAAGGAGCCATCCTGAATGCACGAGCTAATCAAATTCCAAGTTAAAGTTAAAAGATCAACCTGTGCTTTCTCCTTGTTCTCTGAACAGTTGTGTTTTATTTCACAGAAAAAGTGAGTGGTCGTGTATAGGGTCATCATATAAATTTGATTACATCACCATTTTTTGTATTTTCCTCACATTTCAATAATTTTCTACAGTATTCTCTCTATATTTTTGTAATGTTTCCATACTTTCATTGGAAAGTTTATTTTAAATGTGGTTTCTACTCCATCTACTGCAGTGCTAAATCAAGACATTGTAAGAATTCATCTTAGATAGGGTCACTATGAGTTGTCATAGACTTACTGGCAGTGAGTTTGATTTGGGTTAGTAAAAGATCCTGGGAGTTAAGGAGAAGCTTTATTTGTTATGTTCATTTGGAACTTTAAATTTTATTTAAAAGCTTATTTGAGCAAAACTGTATTCTGAAAGCATTACATACTGATGCAAGTGGCCCTAAAACTAGTATAGGTCATTCTCAATTATAATAGGTTCTCTTTCAAAGACTATCACAAGTTGGTTCTAGCATGAATGGAAAACATTTTTGTTTGCATAGCCTGCAATATAGCAATGTTTTTAGAAAGTGAATTATAACACAGAATATCTGCATGTGAGCATAAGAGAATAATGTCAGCCAAGTCCTCCCTGCACCATTGGACATAGATCTGTTACATGCAGCTAATCGTCAGTGGTACCAAACAACAACTACCAAACTCTTGGTCTATAGCAACTTAAAGACATTATGGACTATCTGGACTATTCCTGTACATCATTAGTAGGATACAGTCTAATAACTCAGGAAAAAATTCACAGTGGTAAAATCTTAAATAGTTTTCATAAGTTATACACCAAAAGAACTTAAGAGACATGCTAATCAAGCACAACAAATATACCTTGTTTGAATCTTGATTCATAAAACAACAATCTAGAAATAATTTGAGAAAAATTAAATGTTGATGTAAGTGATATTAAGATATTAATAGGTAATTTTCTTATATTTAGCGATAACATTGCCATTAAGTTGAATCTTTAAGGTATTAAGAGTTAGAGATATGTAATGAAGTATTTATCGATGAAATTTTAGACTGTCTGAAATGTGAAAATGTTTAGGGAGTTTAATAAACTAAATGTTGATAGTTACTGATATTAGTTATGAGTACATAGGTTTGTCACACTATTTTCTTGGTTGGATTTGAAAGTTTTCAAAATAAAGCTTTTAAAGTCTTGATTCTTGAGAAAAGTAGTAGAAGTAACAAAGAAGACACTGTTCTGAGATACAGAATCCCCTCTACCATCATAGATTATACCTCTCTGGAAATAGACATTCCAACCTTTCTTTGCTCGGTCCCCTTCATCATTTAACCTGATAGCTTGTAAGACCATGCTGCTGACACACATTTCTCTAGTCACGTGAATTTTGAGGTGTTTCTTATGACAGTGGATTCATTTAGACTGAGATACCTGGTATCATCAAACTCCTCGGTGTCTGGTTTGTTTCTTGGAGACTGTCTAGTGGTACCCCAAAGGACTTTGTCAGGAACTTAGTTCTCTGCCTTGATACAGCAGTTTCACAGACTAGTCCAGCCCTGAGCATCTTTCAGTTTAGTATTCACAATAAAAAGAGAAGTAATCAAGAACCTGCATTATAGGTAGAAACAATGTAAGTGTGAAACGGTGTTACCTGACCAGAGGAACTGCCAGGCTCATCTATAAGTGTTCTATGTTTCAGAGATTCTTTTTCCATCAGGTGAACGTTTAATAAAAGCCTTAGTTTAAAATTGTAGGGGTGCAGGAATCCTATTCCAGAGAAACATAGTTTTACTAAGTTAAGGAACTTTAATTTTAATTGTACTGACAATATACAGTAAGTGACAGATCTTCCAAAGAGTTTACTCTATGTAAGGCATGGTTCTAGAAGTAGATGGTTGATTTCAAACGTTTAGCAATCTGTGTGTCAATTTCCTCAGTTGCAAATGTAGGATTAACAGCAACCCCATGTGGTACTATTCTTATCTTCACATGACAGATGAGACAGAAACATTAAACAGTTTGTCCAAGATCTACAACTAATAAGTATTATCATAGCTCCTGATAATAAATTACTATAATTTCTATTCTCTTTCGATTTGAAAAATTGTACTTTCTTCTCAACCAGGTTGTTAAACAAATATCTTCTTTATGCTCACAACTCCATTAATGGATTTCCTATTACGAAGTATCGTTTTCTTGTGGGTCCATCAGGCTGTTGTCTACGCAGTTTGTACGGGTGATTGTAATGGTGTAACCTTACCTCTCTGCTGGTACACACTACATGGGCAGAGCTGGGGAAATTGCAGCCATTTCCATCAGAAAAAATGTAAAATCTTCTTAGGACGCATGGTGGCGCTGCAGGATAAGAAGGTACCAAAAAGAACCGCAGCTCTGGCTCCATCATTAACAAGCAAAATTTACCCGGAGAGTCTGGAAGCTTGGATATCAAAGAAGCAGACTGGAAGGTGAAAAGAGCTATTCACCAGAATGTCTCTGCGGTATCATGTGGATTAATTAGAACCTCAGATACTGGGTTTTACATGTCAGCGACTCCATTCTCTCAGAATTCTCTCAGGAAGCCTTACCAAGCAAGAACAATGGAGGCCAGCAGGAAGCTCATCTGCAGACAAAGGCAAGTCATTCTCTTCTTTTTCTTTCTGGTTTACTCGCTGGCTGATGCGGAACCTAGGCGCTATTCAGTGGTGGAGGAAACTGAGGGTAGCTCTGTTGTAGCCAATATAGCGAAGGACCTGGGTCTGGGACAGAGAGAACTGGCGAGGCGGGCAGCTCGGGTCCTATCCAAAGGGAACAAACAGCATTTGCACCTCGTTCTGGAGACCGGGGATCTGACGCTAACTGAAAAACTGGATCGGGAGGAACTGTGCGGTGACACAGAGCCCTGTATACTACGTTTCCAGGTGCTGCTAGAAAATCCCTTACAGTTTTTTCAAGCTGAGCTGCAAATCATAGACATAAATGATCATGCCCCGGTGTTCGTGGACAGAGAAATATTACTGAAAATATCAGAAAGCAGTCCTCCAGGAACTACCTTTCCCCTGAAGAATGCCCAGGACGTGGATGTCGGTAGAAATAACATTGAGACTTATAGTATCAGCTCCAACTCCCATTTTCAGGTCCTCACTCGCAAACGCAGCGACGGTAGGAAGTACCCTGAGCTGGTGCTGGACAAAGCTCTAGATCGTGAGGTGGAGCCTGGACTCAGATTAACCCTCACAGCCCAGGATGGTGGCTCTCCTCCCCGGTCTGGGACAGTTCAGGTCCACATTGAAGTTGTAGACACCAATGACAATGCCCCTGAATTTGAGCAGCCTCTCTATAGAGTGCAGGTCCCTGAGGACAGTCCCATTGGCTCCTTAATTGCCAGGGTCTCTGCTACTGACAGAGACACGGGAGCAAACGGAGAAATCTCCTATTCACTTTTCCAAGTCTCAGAGGAGATTGGCAACACGTTTGAAGTAAATCCCATGACAGGAGAAATTCGACTGAATAAGCAACTTGATTTTGAAACAATTCAGTTCTATGAGGTCAATGTAGAAGCCAGGGATGCTGGCGGTTTTTCTGGAAAATGCGCTGTTTTGGTTCAAGTTCTAGATGTGAATGATAATGCCCCAGAAATCTCCATTTCTGCGATGACCAGTTCAATCCCTGAGAACTCGCCTGAGACTGTGGTGGCAGTTTTCAGTGTTTCTGATCTTGATTCAGAAGAAAATGCGAGACTAGGATGCTCTATTCAGGACGATCTACCTTTCCTCTTGAAATCTTCTGTGGAAAACGTGTACACTCTGGTAACAGACAGACCACTGGACAGAGAGAGTAGATCTGAGTACAACATCACCATCACCGTCATGGACTTGGGAACCCCAAGGTTAAGAACACAACTCAATGTAAAAATCCTGGTCTCCGACGTCAATGACAACGCGCCCACCTTCACCCAAACCTCCTACACGCTGTTCGTCCGCGAGAACAACAGCCCCGGCCTGCACCTGGGCACAGTCAGCGCCACCGACAGAGACACGGGCACCAACGCCCAAGTCACCTACTCCCTGCTGCCGCCCCGCGACCCGCAC